CAGAAGATGGCATCAGATCCCCTGGAACTGGAGTTATGGATGGTTGTTAGCCAACATATAGGTGCTGGGATTAGAACCTGGGTCTTCTGTAAGAACAACCAGTGTTCTTAACTGCTAAGCCATCTCTCCAGCCCCCAGAATGTATGACTTTAAAAAACTGCTGTTGTAGGGTTGAAAAGATGGCTCAGTGGTTAAGATCATTAGCTATTCTTTTTGGGTTTTTTTTTTTGTGTGTTTTTTTTTGTCTTTTTGAAACAGGGTCTCCCTGTAGTCCCAGCTGTCCTGGAACTCACTATGTAGACCAGGCTGGCCTTGAACTCACAGAGATCCGCCTGCCTCTGCCTCCCGAGCGCTGGAATTACGGGCATGCACCACCATGCCTGGCTCTTATTATTTTTATTTTATGTGTATGAGTGTTTTGCCTGCATGTGTGTAAGTGCACCTGCCTCATGTAATGCCCAAGGAGGTCAGAAGAAGGCATTGGATTCCACCAGAACTGGAGTTACAGATGGTTGTTAGCCACCATGTGGGTGCTGGGAATTGAACCCAGGTCCTCTGCAAGAGCAGTCAGTGCTCTTAACCGCTGAGCCCTCTCTCCAGCCCCATCACTAGCTATTCTTACATACGACCTCGGTTCAGTTCCCAGCACCCACAGCTGTCTGTAACTCCAGTTCCAAGGGATCTGACAACCTTTTCTGGCTTCCGCATGCACTGCAGGCACATGGTACACTTAACATACATGCAGGAAAAATACTCATACAAATAAACAAATAAAAATAAATACGTTTTTAAAATACTGTTGAGATTTTTAGGTGCTGTCACCTGCTCTGAGTGCCCTGGTGTGACACCTCAGAAAACAGAGGAAATCAAGGATTTTCTGCTAACAGCCAGCTTAAAACAATGCCAAATCCCCCAAGACCAATAAAAACAAACACAATGTGAGGTTCAACATCTGCTGCAGCAGGTACCTTATGTGCTGGTCATCAGAGACACAGAAGCAGAGAGGCTGAAACAGCCCCTGCCCCCTGGCTTGGCAGTAAAGGAGCTGAGATGAATTAGACCTCTTCATTTGGACTTAAAAATCCTCAAAGTGGAGGCAGAGGACCTGGGTTTGGTTCCCAGCACCCACAGGGAGGCCTCTGCAGGCACTGCATGATGTAGGTACAATAAAAAACTGGGACTCGAGAGAGGGCTCAGCAGTTAAGAGCACTGGCTGCCTTAGGAGGCTGAAACGGGGATTGCCACAAGTTAAGAGACTAGCTGAGGCTACACAGTGAGAGCCTGTCTCCCCACCTAAAAAAAGAAGTGTTTGGGGGGTGGGCTAGAGAGATGGCTCAGCAGTTAAGAGCACTTGTTACTCTTTCAGAGGATTTGAGTTTGGTTTCAAACATCCATGTTGGATGGCTTACAACTACCTGTAGATCCATCCCAGGGGATCCAAGATGCCCTCTAGCTTTGGGGGCACCTGTGCACACAGGGTATACATAAACTCACACAGGCACAGACATACACATAAATAAGTAGATCTTAGCACTCAGGAGACAGAGGCAGATGGGTCTCTGTGAGATGAAGTCCAGCCTGGTCTACACAGTTAATTCCAGGCCAGCTGGGGCTACAGGAAAATCCTATCTCAAAAATACCAACAAAACAAACAAACAAGAGAATGCATTGCCCCAAACATTAAAAAAAATTTATTTCTTTTTATTTTTTTATGTGTATGAGCATTTTGTCTGCATGTTAAATGTACCTGTGTCATGCAATGCCTGCAGGGGCCAGAAAAGGGTATCGTATCACTTGAAACTGGTGTTATGGACAGCTGTTAGCCACTATGTGGGTGCTGGGAACCAAATCTAGGTCCTTTGCAAGCACATCCAGTGCTCTTAACCACTAAGTCATCTCTCCAGCCCCCTACCCCAAACATTAAAAAAATTTTTTTAAACTTATATACCTATTTTATATACCTACTTATGTGGGGTTGTGTCAAAATTACTCAGCTGAAAACAAGTCACAAAATGGAAAAGTTAAGAAGCCCCGGCCACGGGCACAGCAAGCCCTCTGCATGCTGATCTCTCTGTCTGGAATAACCTTCCCATCTCCATCTAAAAATGCCTTTTAAACTGAGCTCAAGGGCTAGAGAGACAACTCAGCAGGTAAGTGTGCTTGCTGCAGGAGCGTGAGGGGACTGGAGCACGGGGCCTAGCACTCAAGGAAAGTGCAGCCATGGTCCTGCACACTGCAGAATCCTCCTCTGCACTGAGTGCGGCAAAAACAAGAGGATCACTGGGGCTTGTTGGCCACCAACCTAGCAAAACAAAACAAAACAACAAAAAAACCAGCTGGGTGTGGTGGCACATACATTTAATCCCAGCACTTGGGAGGCAGAGGCTGGCAAATCTCTGAGTTTGAGGCTAGCCTGGTCTACATAGTAAGTTCCAGGTCAGCTGGGGCTACAGGGAGACCCTGTCTCAAAAAAACCAGAAAAAAGGTGTGCATATTTATGTACATAAATGACTATGTATACGTGAAAACATACACACCTGCACATGGGACAAAGCCACATACAGAGGACAAACACACAGACATACAGTAAAGCAAGTGGTAAAATGAAAACTATGAAAATACAGGAAAAGGGTGTAACTTGCTGGTACATATGAAAGTACATCATAGTAAAGGGGCATGTGGGGCCTTATGGGGCCCCCCCACCCCACCCCCAATGTCAATCCCAAGGCCATACCAAGCTGCTGCTGGCCTTTCCCGCATGGGCTTCCATCTGTTGCCAGTACTTCTTGGATTCCTGAACAATGTCTTCGTGGGTCATGCCTGGCGAGGGTAGGAGAAGACAGGTGTCCCTCAGGGGGCTTGGCAAAGGGTGAGGCATAGCACCTGTGGGATGCTGGTACAACCTGAGGCCCAAGCAGATGAGCCCCACCCTGCTATTCCCAGCCACAGTAAGACAGGTATAGGGAATGCACTCATCTTCTCTGGGCCCATTTGTTCGTCTGTACCATGGGAAGAGAGCCTACCTCCCGCTTCCAGGCCAGCATCCCATCTCTCAAGCCAATTGCTCAGCATTCTTCCCTGACCCCTGCCTCTCTCCTGCCTCAGACCTGATCCTGCTTGGAGCCTAGCCCACAGGACAGGACTCTGTGCCTGTCCCAGCCTGGCTCACCAGTTCACGGAGGCTCATGGCTCTTCACTGCCAGTCCCCAAAGGGCAAACATGTCAGCACAATGGTCCCTATCTCCCTGCCAGCTCAGCACCTCATCCTGAAGCCTGCCTCCTTTCCACCTCCTCTTTCTGCTGCCTCCTTCCAATTAGCTCTGTGCTTGTCCTATGGACGCTGCTCCACAGCAGCTGCTCTCTGCCAGTGCTAACCCTAGACCACATACACTGACAGGGGGATTCTTGCAGATGACCCCCAAGTATGTATCTGCAGCCCATACCTCCCATGAACTTCCAGCCTACCACTCCTGCTTGCCTACTCAACATCTCTACTTGAAGACTGAGAGACGGCTCAGAGCCCACATCCCATACTGAGCGAGCCCTGATGTAAACTCCCAAACCCATTCTTCCCACAGCCTCCCCGTTTGCAGAACATGGAACCCCACTCTTCTAGGCACCCTGACCTCAGAGTTGACCTTGACACCATCTTTGGTTTCAGACTTCACATCCGGTTCATCAGTTCTTGTTGGTTTTTTCAATCTGAGCACTTTGCCACCTGGACGGAGCGAAGTTCTGCCACGTGTCTCCACCACTGGCCTTGTTCCTCTATTCTGCACCCAGCAGCCAGTGTGGCTTGGAAAATGCTGACCAGATTCCATAATTCCACTCTACCTAAAACCCCTCCTGGCACTACACATCAGACTTAGAGCAATCCCTGGACATCAACCCCTATTTACAGCAATGCCAATTATAGCCATGGGGCATGTTAACAACGCATTCTCTGTTCTGAGAAACGTGGTATTTGAGATGCTGTAAACAGAAGGGTTAGGCTGCTGCCTGTGTCACAGTTGTAAACAGCCCCCCCCCTTTTTTTTGGTCTTTTTGAGACAGGGTCTCCCTATAGCCCCAGCTGTCCTGGAACTCACTATGTAGACCAGGCTGGCCTTGAACTCACAGAGATCCACCTGCCTCTGCCTCCCGAGTGCTGGGACTAAAGGTGTGCGTCACCACGCCCGGCTATAAACAGCCTTTTAAAACAATCCTCTTGCCGGGCAAGAGGTAGAGGCAGGGGGGGCTCTGAGGTTCAAGGCAGCCTCGTCTACATAATGAGGTTCCGGGCAGCTGGGGCGATAAGGGGGACCCGGCTCAAAAAAACCAAAAAAAAAAAAAAAAAAAAAAAAATCTCTTTATTTCTTTGCATATGTAGGTGTGTGTGCGCACAAAAGCCACAGCAGGTATATGGTACTCAGAGGACAATTTTCGATTCTCTCCTTCCACTATGTGGGTCCCAGGAATCGAACTCAAGCTGCCATGCTTGATATCAAACGCCTTTACCCACTGAGTCATTTCATCAGCCATAACAGTCAGTTTTAAAAAAAGCTTTTTAAATTTAAACTAGGTATACATTGGACACATTCTAAGATAAAGTATAGTACAGCAAGTCCATGAACAAGCAACAGACCTGTTCATTCATTATAATTCACTGCACAATTCAGCCCCATTATTATATTATGGAACCATGGTTCTCTGTGGCCCCCTGACGTGAAAACATCACTATGCTTCATGTGACTGTGTTTCTATTTAAGGCCAAGAGACTCTTACACACTGGGCTCCCTGCTAATCCTGGGTCTCAACTCCAGCCCACCCACATTTGGTGCTTTAACTCCATGGACAGTCTTCCTCCTGCCTCAAGTTCTTTAGCCTTGCTGTTCTGCCTTCCTGGAGTGTGCCCTGCACTTCTTGACAGGCTTGCTCCCACCGCAAGACTAAAATGCTCGCCCAGGTCCCTCTCCATTGCTCTGCTTCCACACATCACTGACTCACATCTGAGGTCGCAGCATCACCAATGCTGACGACACTGGTTGCCACATGTACAATACAATACTCCTCCCCAGGTCCCAAATACTGCTAGTGAAATTATAATAGGCAGTGGAGATAAATGTGCAGCCTTGGTCAGACAGAATACAGAATTTATTCTTGCTAGTATACTGTCTGTCTTGCCTCATGTCCGTTCTCTAGAGTTAGGCTTCAACTCACTCATGGCTGAATCCCCTGACACGGAAAAGGTGCTCAGGAAACTAATTAGATGGGTGAACATGGGAACGTCTGTAAATCCAGAATCCAGATCACCACTTGCCAGATGAGCAGATGGAGGTTCAGGGAGGGGAAGGGACTTACAGCATGTGAAGTGGCTGGAGCAGGGGCCTGGCTCTACCAGGCTTGGCAGCCTCACTCAGACTTGTTCTATTTCATCTGTGAGCTCCCCTAGGAAGTACCAGGACAGAAGGCCCAGCTTCCAGGCTTGGCAGCTCTCTGAGAGCAGAGTTGTCTTCTTTGTGATGTCCAGAGTGCACCAGCAACTCCAGAAAGCTCCCAGGAGCCACCTGTTTCTGAACTCACTTGCGGTCCCTTTCATTGGCCACCAGACCCTGGAAAATCCACTCCCAGCCAATTTCGTGCCCACTTCAGCTGTTCTGCCTGCCCCTCCCTCACCTGAGTACTGCTGCAGCAGCCAGACCTTGAGCTCGATGAAGCTATGGGCAAAGTGGCAGCTGTCCTCCCGCAGACAGCCATAGCGCACCTCGTGGCGGCACACGTCGAACTGGAAGTGCTCCTGGAACTGGCGGATCTTGGAGTACTTGAGAGAGGTGGAGCGGACGATGTGCACCAGGCACCTGGTGGGCAGATGGGATGTGTACAAGGCTGACTGTGGTCCTTAACCACCCTCCTGGTGCCAAGCAAGCCCGAGGACGCAGCCTTCTCCCTGATGCCTCCTGCCTATTAACTGATCCCAGAACGTAGAGTACTAAGGGAGTCTGACACTTCTGCAGTCTTGGGCTTCAGCCTCTTCTGCTTTACTAGTGCCTCCTCACAGGGGCCTCTTGGGGTCAGCTCAGTTTGGAAGGCACCAGATCCCACCTGTCACCAGGCTGGTAGAAGTGAGTGCCCATGACTGGGGGGGCATTTCCAGCTCAGTGCCCCATCACTCTCAGAAGGAGGAAACCCAAGACTGCAGTGCCTAGTGCCCCAACACATGACCAGTCATTGGTCAGGCTGGGATATGGACCCAGAACTCGAGGGCCTGGCTCCATCACCCATGCTGGGGTGGAGCAGAGAATCAGAAAGGCAAAAGCAGCGGTGCCAACCTGACCTATGGCCTCCCTCTCCCTGTTTGACACTGAAGTCACAAGAGTGGAGGGTACTGGCTGGGAGTCGAGAGTCGGCGGGGGGACACACCTGCCTGCTGATCAAGCTTTCTCTTCTGTACGAGGAGGACAGCAACTCCTCTTCCAGAGGACCCCTGAGACCATCAATACCCAAGACAGTGCTTAGAATACAGACAGTGGTGAGTGTGGCTCCTGTCCTTTCCAGGTGGATGTGTTGACATCTTCTATCCTTTTAGCGTAGGCCTTTCCTCATTCATCAAGCTGCCCTCAAAGGAGCCTCCCTGCCCTTGCCCAGCACACTGCCCGGCTGCAGGACCTACTCACTTGTTGTTGTAGAAGCTGTGCTTGGCGGCCAGGTTGGAACAGACAGATGGAGAGTCCTTGGTGCCTTTGCTGATGATCCGGGGCTTACTGTCAAAGCAGATCTGCCCAGGGAGGGGATGGGCTGGGACTCCCGAAAAGCTACCTGGGGAGGGTTTGGGCTAGAGCCCCACATGGCCACCCAGGGAAGGACAGCTGGTCCCTGTAAGCTCTGCCTGGGGGGTAGGGGTAGGGCGTGGAAGGGAATCCCAGGTTGTGGATCCCCATGTCTCTGGCTCATGGATGACCTGGGCTTTGGCTACTTCTCCTTTCTTTACCTCTCTGATCACACAACTCCAAATGCCTGAAGCAGGGGTTACTCCATGCCCCTGAGCCTCAGTTTACTCAGCTGTAAACTGGGGATAATCATACCTACTTTGTATCACAGGTTCACTGTCCAGGTCAAAAAAGATAAAAATGAATCCAGTAACTTTGTGAACTACTTCTGCCTCCTGGCCATTAGCCATGATTCCCAGGTCAACTTTTACCTCAGGGAAAATGGCACAAGTTCACCTGTCCTAAGGGTCAGCAGATCAGGGTGGGCTGAGCCTCATCAACCCCCTTTCTCCGCAGCCCAAGCTCTTGTTCCCCAGGGATGAAGATGACACTGCCTCTGTCCTCAAAAGCTACAGAGCTGAGTATACTGTCAAGACTGAGCAGTCTTCTGGGACAGTTCAGTGGAGCTGCCTGGATGAGAGAAGAGCCTAGGAGAAACAAAGCAACTTGGGAGGGCACTCTAGGGGGAAGGCACGGCCAGGACACATGCAGGAAGTGCTACTGAAGCTGGCGCACACAGACTGGAACACATTAGAGACGTGAAAAAGCAGGCCAGTTACCCTGCTTGAAATAGCTGAGATGCACTAAATGTACCATACTCCTGATAAGGGATTTTGGACAATACTGGACAAGATTCTCAGTCTGACTGTTCCCAGGAGGCCTGGCCATGAGGGTCACCAGTAGTGGTTGGCAGTGGGGTGTGGACATGTGCACTGGGGCTTGAAGCTCAGCTCAGCTCTAGCCTAGCCATTTGGCCCTCAGGCTCAACTTTGACTCCTCAAATCCCAGTAAATGAGTAAAGTGTCTGTGCTGGAGCCACTCAGAAGGTAGAGATGGAAATGAAATTCCTTGCATACTACCAGCTATCAGGGAAAAGCAGATGGGTTTCTTTCCAACCTTAGTTTCCACTTAAAATGAGAAGGCTAGGCAGGATCTAGGGCCTAACAAGATAGGAACCTTGGGGCCTGACTTGTGGATAGCCTACAGATCTGGTGATTCTAAGGTCACACCTCCCATATCCAGAGTTTGTAGGACTTACTCCCATGATGGCTAGCACCAGGGAGCAGCCCCAAGCCTGCATGTGCCTGGGACCATGGTGGAGGTGGTAGAGCAGGTGGGCAAGTGGGTACCTCACAGAGGAAGGTGAAGATGCCCTGATGCTCCTTAAGGAGCTTGGCAATGGTGAGGCTGCCACGCTTGACGCCCCCAAGAGGGTCGAAGAGTAGGTCTCGGTTGAGGGTGCCCTTCCGCTCCTCTGTCCACACGTCGATCTCCTCCTGATGGTAGGCGAAGGTGCAGTTATCCCCGTACTTACAGTCCTGCTTGTTAATCATGTCTGCAAAGAGGCAATAGGACACACGTTCTGCCAGGCGGGGATGGCGACCTGCAGTACCCCCACAATCCCGCTGTGGCAGGATGGAGCACTGGTGACTAACATCCTCCCATAAGGACACTTTTCCAAATACCAGGCCAGGCACCTCTGTGCCCAACACATGCCAACCACCCCCCTATGGTGTCTCATGCAGGTCAAGTAAGACAAAAAGTATGAAAAGGGCTTTGTAGCATACATAAGCCTCTACAGAAGGAGGGATTTTACAAAATGAGCATTCAGGAAATAATTGCATGGTTAAGATCATGGACTCTGCAGTCCTACATACAGACTGTGGTTAGGATTCCTTATTACTTCCTGAGCCTATGTCATCTTTTCCATGAGCAGAGGACTCCTGGCACAAGGAACATGGGTCACAGACCTGGGAGACCCATGAGCATCCTCAGATGAGTGGGATCGGGGGGAAGCAGCACAGGGAATCACTTCCAAACTCTGGGCCATCAGGCTCAAAGGGCAGAGCTCAGGCCATGGAGCTGGGGAAGGGTGAGTGTGCCTGCAGAATGGTTAGGGCAGAGGATGAGAATGTGGATGTGGGCATGCACAGGTGTTCATCCTACCACCCATGGGCTGGGCGAGAGGACAGGCAGTCTGTGGAGGATGCTCAAGGCTTCAGTTCCTCATGTCTAGAGCTGGGATGATGCTTGGTGTGAGTACAAAAGGGTTGCATGCAGATGTGCTTAGTCTCATGACTGTTCAGTAGGTGCCACATAGACTGAGTCCAGTGACTCAGTAGGGAATTTGAAGAAAGCAAAAAAGGTACACAGCAAATGTCTATTTGATAGTGACCGAATTTTATGAACCAGAAGTAAGGATAAGAAAAATAATATAATCATTAAAAACAACTGACATCAACAGGCACTTCTGTGCTTTTCAAGCCCCATGCCTTTTGGAATCCTGCAAGAAACTGGCTCCCCATGGGACTGTAGGAATCTCACATGCAAGAGCGCAGGCCACTGTGGGGCTCGAGATCCTCGGGACACCCTGAATGTCCTCCATCTTTGGAGTTGGTCAGGAGGAGAGATGCCTTGATGGCCCCAGGGGCCCCAGGATCTGAGCTCCCTCACTTCCCCTGAGGTCAAGAAGATCATAGCTGCTCTTACTGCAGGCACGGGAAGAGCCGAGCCCTGGCTGGGTACCAGCCCCACTTACAGCCCACCCACCTTTGCACAGGTAGTAAGAGCCGACAAAACTGGTTTTGGTGGGCCGGGGCCGGATACGCTTCCAGATCTGTTCCTCAGAGCTTCGGAGTCGGCCGAGGAGGACATCTCGCTTGCACTTGTGCTCGAGGCCCTCGCGGTAGGTGTAATCACCAGCTCTGGGGCCTGTGGGCAGGGTGCACAGGGATGTGACTCCAGGCAGAAATGAAGGGTGACACTGGCACAGGGAGGATATGGGAACTCTCATCTGCACATCTGCAGCTCCCAGCATGCTGTCACCATGTGCTTGCTATGGGAGAATTGGGGAACCTACCACCTTACTACCCTGATGAGCCTAGACCTATGGTGAGCCTGCCCATCTCAGAGTTTTTTAGAGAGAATTATGAAGACAGCGCTTGGCAGAGGGCTGGCCCCATCCAGGGTGCACCCCATCCTTTCCTGTACCGGAGGGCCTTGTTTTCTTGCACAAATCTCCTACTGACCCACTGAGGTCTTTTCATTCTGGGCTTCCACCCTCCCTAGATTCCCAGCATCCCCAGGGCAGAGGGGTGCCACTGCACATGTGGGGTTACCTGTTTTAGGGTAACACAGCTGGCAGGCCTGCTTGAATTCATGGGTGGCAGCCAGAGGGTTCTTGATGAGCAAGGCGGTATTGGGCATGGAGGGCTCCGGCTATAAATGGGAGGATGTTAGTCATCTTGGGCCCTTAGTGACACCTGGGACCACCAAGGCCAGCCTGGGCAGTGGGGGTAGGGGTGCTTTTTGACTCTCCCATCGATCCTACCCAACAACAGAATTGTAGCTCAGGATCCCTCCTCTCCATCCTCCCAGGCCATGTATTGTGGTCTAAGAGCCCAGAACACCAGTACCAGTTCAGAAACTCCCAGACTAGTGAGTGGCAATGATCTTGGCCTAGAATGTTTCCTTGAGTTAAAGGTCAACATGAAAGCAGAGAAATGGCAGGGGGTTGTCTGAGGGCTCTGCTCATGAACCACCCTGATGTCCCAGCCATCAGAAGTCAAGGAATAAGACTCAGAGAGTCAGTAACTTGATTTTCTAGGGTCACACAGCTAGGGTCCAAGCTGAGGTCAGAGTACATGCTGCTCATTCATGGTCAAGTGCTCTTCTAAACCCAGAACAGGCTGTCTGGAGATCAGAGTCATGGCCAACACTAGGGACATCACTTAAGGCTGCTCGGTTTTGCTCTTTTCTCGCACTTAGTGTAGAATGCCCTGGGTGTGCCCTTTGGCATGGGGCAAGTGAGGTAGTACCAGGAGACCACCTGGAGCCCACTACTCTGAGGATGTCCCTCCTTGGAAGATGTAGCACCACACCCATGCAGAGGGCTCAGCTCCTCCCCAGTCTAAGGCCCATAACCCCAGTAAGAATAAGGGGCCTGGTCTGGGAGCCCCACTCAAGTTACTCACTGAGGAGGCTGGTTTCTGAGTACTGCTTGGGGGACGGTGGTCCTGTGAGTTGGTCTCTTCTAGGCAGTGAAAAGACACAGGGGTCACATGTCTTGATGGAGAGGGCATGCTTTTGGGATTTCTTCACAGGCCCTCCCTCCTATTTTCATGACCCTGAGGCAAAGAGGCTGCGGCTCCAGCATATCAACCCCTGCTTAAGCCTTCAGAGGCTCCCTGTTGCCCTGGGAGAAAGCCCAGGCTCTTAGCTTGGTTCACAAAGAAACCGTACCCTATCCACTCCCCTGGGAATCTCTCCTCTGGCCATCAACCAATCCCTGACCCCCCACCATGAAGATTCTATGACTCTGCTCTCTCCACCTCACTGGTGAACCTTTCCTCTGAGACTGGTCCAGCTATCACTTCTTCCAGAAGGAATCCCTGGCCCCTCTCTGCCCTGGCCATTCCATGGGTCCCTCAGTCTTGGGTGCCCTGGACTATATCTGAGGTCCAAAAGCCAACTCTATGAAGGCCTAGTCAGTTTTCTCTCCAGGTTCCTGGTTCCCAGCCCAGAGAAGTGCTGAAGGAACTCATCACCTTGTACCCTGGCCTTGCATCAGGGTAAACTCCATGGGACCCTGAGCCTGGGGGTCCAGGGCTCCAGAGGGCTAGGGAGAGCACCAGACTGAACCACTAGCGCAGTTCTGCTATTTGATCTAGAAAAAGACATGTGGCTCGAGGCTCAGGTTCAATGGTCCTGATACAGTGGAGACAGGACAACATGAACTGCTGTAGACGGTGATAAAGACAGGGACATGCACTTTGGCAGCACAAAGCTCCAAAGACCAGAGACACAGAAGCACTTTGTGCACCGTCAAGGGAGTAGAGGGAGAATGTGCCCACCAAGGCCTCACCCACGAAGGAGTCAGGCTTGTCCAGGGAGCCTTGGGCCGACCCAAAGCTGTCGAGGGCATCCAGACGGGTCTCAGAGTATGGCAACAGGTCTAGGGGGTCCAACGTGGGCCCTGGAGAGTCAAGGGCATCCAGCACAGAAGCAGCCAGCTTCTTGGAGGGATCCATGACGAGACCAAATGAGGCAGGAGGCAGTGGGCTGGACACGGGGATGGAGCCACCCACCACGGGTGGCAGTAGTGGGGTCCCGCCAGGGAACACAGGGATCAGCTGGGGCAGCTCACTAGGCACACCACTGCCAGGAAGGCCACCCTGGACCAGAGACTGCAAGTTGAGGACAGAGCCAGGGATCAGGAGAGAACAGGACCACCCAGCCCTGGGCAGCACGGGGCATTCCAAGACGCCGGCAGCTTCTCTGCAGGTCAGTTTCAACCACCCATGAAGGGGAGCTAGGGCTCTTCTCTGTTCCTCCTGGGGGTCTGTCCTGAAGCCCTGTTTCCATCCCAGCCAGTCCCTCCCAAGGCTCCTATTTCCCCAACTGTGACATGGAGATGGAGGTCCCTCCCCACCTCATGGGACAGTGGGGTTCAAAGAGAGAGACAGATTCGGAGGGAGCAAGAAGGCAGCAGCATGGCTCACCAGCGAGTCCAGGAGGGTGTCCAGCTCTGGACCAAAGACATCCCCATCTGAGAAGTCGTCCAGGCACTCAGTGCTGGGGAGTGTCCTGCTGCTGCCATCCAGGGGGGCCAGTAGGTCCAGAACATGAGGGAACAGAGGCATCGTGGGGGTGGAGGGGAGCAGGGCCGGGGAGCCTCGTAGGTCCACATAGCAGTCTGTGGAGGGGGTAGGCCTCAGTAGCTGCAAGAGTGCTGTGTGGTGGGAGTAGAGGAAAAGTCCCAGGGCCCAGGCACTATGCCGACACCTTCCCTTCTTCCTCCACTCCACCAAGGGCCTGGCTCCCTATGGCCTGCCCAGTAGCAGTGGTTCAGAGGTAGTAAAGGAAGGAAAACTGGAGCGGATAGCCCTGGCTCTGCTCAAACATCCACGAGTGTCACCTTTCTCTGAGGTAAGCAGTGGCTTCTTCAAGGACTTATAAGATACAACCTGGAAGCCAGTAAGTAAGGGAAGAAAGAGGGGGACTTTGAAAGATGTGGATGCCCGAGTACAGCAAGCATGAAAGGGGAACAGGGACCTGCTGGGGAAGTGCTCTCCCAGCGCTTAAGTAGAGAAGTTATACTTTCTGTCCCACCTTAGGGAATCTGTTCCAATGTCCCTGTCTACACAACTGATATAGGGAGAGGTTTGATTCCTCTGACTTTTGGATAAGGGACTGAGCCCTACCAGAGAGCCCACTCCCACCCTCGTGATCAGGGACACTACCTGTTTCAATGTCATCTATGGATCCCAATCCATTCAAGGTTCCCTGCGGAGAAGGACAGAGATGTTGGCCAGGCTAGAGATAAGGGATGGGATGGCCACAGAGCCCAGCTATGTTCCCACATGGCTAAGTCACTTGCTGAGGAACAGCAGAGCTGTCCAGGAGAGACACTGAACACCCATCACACATTTAGCCTGGTTTTCAGCTGGGATCTGGGCAGGCATGGGTCGGGAGGAATGTAAGGTAGACTAGCCTAGTAGGTGCCCTTTGGGGAGCAGTGGCCCCAGGGGAGGGATATATCTCTGAGTCTCAGTTATTTCACCTGTAAAAGGGTAGAGTCCATACACTGAAGAGGTGGCCAGAGTTTTGGGCCTTTAAAAACTATATTTCATGGGGCTAGAGAGATGGCTTAGTGGTTAAGAACACTGGTTATTCTTGCAGAAGACCCGGGTTCAAATCTCAGCACCCACATGGCAGCTAACAACTGTCTGTAACTCTAGTCCCAGAGGATCTGAAAGCCTCTTCTGACCACCGTGGGCACTGCATGACATGTATGCACTTGCCTACATGCAGGTAATACATACACACACATAAAATAAAAATAAAATTTTTTAAAAGTTTAAAATATATATATATTTCATTTATTATTTTTATTTATGTATATGGAGTGTTTTCCCTGCATGTATGTAAGTGCACCATGTTTGTGCAATGCCTTGCAGGCCAGAAGAGCATGTTGTATTCCCTGGAACTGGAGTTACAGATGGTTGTTAGCTGCCATGCGGGTATGGGGAATCGAATCTGGGTCCTCTGGAAGAACAGCAAGTGTTCTTAACCACCAAGTCATCTCTCCAGCCCTCCTCCCAAAAGGATGTTTTTAAATTAAGAAAATCAGTACATTGTCATGTATCTTGTAGATATTTTTCTCTGATTTTGCTCTTTGATTTATAGAGTTTTTGCATCCAATTTCTTTGTATGTGCCTTTATTAATCCTT